ATTGAATAAGTATGGTGAGAGTATACAACCCTGATGCACACCTTTCCTACTTTTAAACCATGCAGTGTTCCCTTGTTCACTTCAAACTACCTGCTGGTCTATACAGATTTCACATGAGCACAGTTAAGTGTTCTGGAATTCCCATTCTACAAGTTATCCATAACTTGTTATAATCAATAAAATATGAGTAACCATCATTCTGATACTCCCAACTTTCAGGCAAGATCTACCTGACATTAGCAATAATATCCCTCACTGCATGTCCTCTTCTGAATTCTACTTGAATTTCTTGTAGTTCCCCGACAATGTACTGCTAAAGCAATTTTTTAATTACGTCAGCAAAATTTTACTTGTGTGTGATAGTGAAGATATTGTTCCATGATTATCATATTGTCAGGTTTTTTGGAATGGGGACAAATATGGTGAGTTTGGGATCTTCAGAGTTAATTTACCCATAGCACAAACAATGCTACAACCCAAAGTACTTTTTCCAATGTGTTCAAATTATTCAGTTACAGCATTCACATATTTTCCATTTATATATTCTTTCACAGAGCCTCAATAGATATTTTATAAAGAAGTGATGTCTGATAGTTTAACGAGGTAGAGCTATAAGAAAAACAGTATTTCAGTTAAGACAAATGGAGAACTCTCCAATTAAAGCAAAGAAAACTATTTTCTGAAAAACTGGCCCATGGGAAATTACTGTTAGTCCTGCTGATTAACAATGAGTTGAAACCTTAATGTTTCATAACCAAATTATTCCCTTGCCAAATGAGCAAAACCAAGGCCAGGTAGTTAAACAGGGATGAAAAAAAAAGCTTACAGAACTATGTATGCCAGATCTGTAATTCACATGTTTCAACCTAATACTCTGGGGATATCTGGTTCAAGTCCTCCCCAAGTGGGTTTCTGGAAATAGTGGTTCAATGGAATGAATGTTTTTTAAAAGTTCACTGACAAATTTAGGAACTACTGAATTAAATGTAGAACTGATCTCTTTACCTCAGTATTTTTCTTAATGTGTTAATAAGAATTATCCTTCTCCAAAAGGATTTATTAGCCTAATGAAGAAAATAAAGAATACAGAAATTAAGTGATTTATCAAAGTCACACAGCTAGTTAGTTAATGGCAAACTCAGAACCAGAATCGACTTATCCAATTACCATGATACAAAAAAAATAATAATAACAAAGCCTTTTTATTTAACTATAAAAGTCTTCTTGAGTGGAGGGATGGTGGAGTAGAAAGGGGGAACAGATTACAGGGATCTACATATAATCTCCTCCCTGGGGGAAGGACAACAGAAAAGTGGGTGAAGGGAGATGTCGAACAGTGTAAGATAAGATAAAATAATAATTTATAAATTATCAAGGGTTCATGAGGGAGGGGGAAGCAGGGAGGGAGGTGGGGAAAATGAGGAGCTGATGCCAAGGGCTTAAGTGAAGAGCAAATGTTTTGAGTGTTGAGGGCAGAGAATGTACAAATGTGTTTGACACAATTGATGTATGTATGGATTATGATAAGAGTTGTATGCACCCCCAATAAAATGATTTTTTTTAAAGTCTTCTTGAAGTAAACTTTGTTTTTTGTTGTGTGGTTGATTCTGTACATACACTGATTATACATTACTGGTATTCAAAAACTTTAAATATTATCAAAAATATTTCCTCTAGAAAACCAGAGGTATCTTTTCCAGTCAAGGTAAACAGGTACATGGATGGAAATAAGAAAATGGTAATGATAGCACCCTGGCTGTGAGTTCTGCAGAGCAGGGACCCTATCTGTTGCGCTCACTCATATTCTTAGAGACTAATAGAAGGTAAAAATTCACTATCATTTGCTAAAAGAAGGAACAGGTCCTCTTCTACCTTTAGTACATGACTAACCTAAAGGTTGTGGCTCAGACTCACTCAGCACTACTACAAAAGAAAGGTCTGGCCAGCTACGGCCATTAAAATGACACCCCAAATCCAACGGAAGAGTACTACCCAGGTACAGGTGGGACTGTCGTGAGTTAGCATCAACTCAACGGCAAGGAGTTTGGTTTGTATTTGGTTCTGTCATTGATTAGCTGTGAAATCTTGATCGATTTATGACTGTTTTGAGTCTGAGCTTCTCATCTTATAAATGAAGCAGTTAGACTAGAGGGATCAATCTCCATACTATCTCTATTAGGCAATCTCATACAAATAAGAAGGAGCCCCAGATGAGCAATGCTTAAACCCTCAGTTGCTAATCAAAAGTGGGGACAGTTTTTCTGCAAGAAAAAGGTGTGGCAGTTGGTTCCCATAAATATTATGGTACAATCTTAGAAAACCTAGGGGTAATTCTGTGTTGCACAGTGGTCAAGTAAACAGAAATCAACTTGGACAGCAATAGGTTTAGTTTGGTATATTTTTGATACAAATTGAATCTCCAATCTCCAGAATTGGGGGCTATGTGCACAAACAAAAACCATAACCAAAAATAGCATTTAAAAAAAAAAACCTCACTGTCATCGATCCAGGCCAACTGGTAGCAACCCTGAACCCCATCTTTTCCCTGCTGAGCAGCTGGTGTTTTCGAACTGCTGACTTTGCAGTTAGCAGCTTAATTCAAAACCACTAAGCCACCAGGGCTTCCTAGAATTTCCAAAGCACTTTAAAATCATTATTTCATTTAGTACTCCCAATAATTCTGCAAGACAGTCAGACATTTATTATTACCCCTTACTCAGTAAGGGCAAAGAAACTGAGTTCCAGAGAAGCTGAATCCAGAATCACAGACTTATTTGGTGATGCCTGGGGTTAAAGCTCACGATTTTAGGACTGAAACCCCCAAACTTTTCCATTACCTTTGCCACTGCAAGCTAGGAACAGGGATACAGCAAGAATGACTGCAGCATTATGTCCTGACTTTCAACTACTGATTTAAAAGGACAAGGATAAAGAACTCCCAGAATATTTTGTCTCCTCAATGTTGAAACTCCAACTCTTCTGTGAAAAAACAAGTACTTAAAGCAATAAATTGCACTTTGTTCTGTTGAGTCCAAGGTTAGCCAAGTGTCACTATTTTAACACAGGATGAAAAGAATCCAAATTATGAACAATATAATCTTTTCCATCAAAAGACAGTTTCAAGTTTTAGTTCAAATATGAACTCACAGTTAAGTACAATTAAATTTAAAGGTCATCTTATCCCATTATTATGCTACATGTAAAAGGAGATATCCACTTTTGGAAAATTCTTTTTGCTAGTAGAAATGAGGCAATTTATTACTGCTTCTAGGTCTTGTTACATGACACCATGCTCCAAATCATATTACTTCAACTGCAACTTATCCAAGCTCCAGTGATGAACAAACCCAACAGTGGCTCAAAGTTGGTGTTAAAATAAACAAATGCCATTTACATCACACCCTTCCCTCCAAGAAATACAATCGACACCCAGAAGATCCCAGATTACAGATTTAGATTTCTGCAAGATCCTAATCAAACAATTGACTCTCATATTTGTTAATGCTATTCACCTCTTTTCTTATTTATTAAAAAAAATACATCTATTGTGTCAAATAATTTTTACAATTACAGCAAAATCCTCTTAACAGGCGGTATACGCTAATAAAATACATATATATACTAACTAAGCCTCTCATTCGCATACACTGTATCAAATTCTCTGCTATGAAAATTAAATGGCCACTGTCCCTCTGGAGTTTGTGTACATGTGGAAATAGTTGGGAATATGCCCACAGTGAGTCATAATTATTAAGGATAAGCAGATATGTATGTAAAAGCAATAATGCTACAAGAGTAGGTAAAGGAAAAACTCGTCCTCAGACACAAAATGATGAATCACTATCATCCAAAGTGAGTATACACACACAGCACAAAAGCATTAGTTACTGTCTTGTTCTGTGAACTTTGGCAGGTTTGGGAGGACCGAACTAAAGTTTAGCTTGCTCAACGGCAGTTTAAGATCTCCCTAGATCCAAGAGGTCTTGGACCTAAAAAGAGCTGACAACAAACACTACTAACAGCACTACCACCACCAAAGCGACAAGCCTTTATCAGTACTCTCCAAATTCCTCGGGGTACAGGTTCCACAGCAGCAGACTCAGCACCACTTCCCAACACTAGGAAGTTTGGGAAACGGTCGAAAATCTTGTGGGGCCACTTAACAACCTCTGTAGACTGTCACAAAATAAAAGTCGCAGTGCAAGTGTCAACTTCGCAGGCCAATTCAAAACACCACGGGACCGCCGAATTAAGGCTGCTTGTCGGAACAAAGTATTCACAAGGGCAAGTGTTACCCACCCAAGTGCCAAGCACTTCCCCGGGGGGATCAGCAAATGATAACCGGGGTCCCAGGCCGGGCAGGCCCTTTCCCCCAAGAATCCCTCTCCTAGGTGGTGCCAACTGTACGCTTGCAGGCTCCGAAAATAGGGGCCTGCCCTGAATGCCAGGATTTAAAGGGTAACGTTTCTATTTCATAATGGACCGGCGCTCCGAAGCCTCCCAAGGCAGACACGTTCGACCTCTCACCCTGGAGTCCCTTTCCAACTGCGCTCTCCCCCAGGATCCTGAGAGCCCAGGATGAGTTGGAACAAGGCCTGGGAGAAACCACCACTGAGCGCCCGGAAAGTTCGTCCATGAGACCCGGAGAAGGTGGGGGCTTCGAGGGAGAAAACCCAACTTGGAAGCCCCTCGGGCTCACGCGTTTTAAAAACCGAAAGACGACAAAGCCCGTCGGCTCTGCTGCCGCGGGCGGGCAGAGCGCACTCCCAGCCATTCTGCGGGGCCGGGGATGGGGGTCCCCGCGGCGGGCAGCCCGCGCGGAGAGCTCGCGGGGCTCTGCTCTCCGGCCGGGCGGTGCGCTCGGCCCTTCGCCCAGGCCCCGTCCTCCTTCCCCACGACCAGGCCGCTCCCGAGCCGCCTCTCCTCCTCCCCCCCCAACCCCACACAAGCAGGCCGCCGCCCCGCAAACCCCACAACTTTCCCGTGCCCCCTCTTCCCACCTCTCAGCAGCACACAGAAACTGCAGGCCAGGAGGCTCCTCAGGACGGCCCCCATCTTCCTTTCTCGCCTTCTCCTCTCTCACCGGCGAGGAGCGGCCAGAAGGAGGGGAGGCGACGAGCCCGGGCGGCCGCCGCAGCGGCAGATCTGCACGCTCATGCTTCCCAGCTTTCCAGAGAAAGAAGAAAGGGGCACGTCAAGGCTCCGCGCACGCCGCCGCCCGCCCTACCGCGCCGCTCGGCCGCGGGCTCGCGCGACGCCACTGCCGGCTTCCATCCCGCCGCCTCCTCCCCGGGCGCCCGGCTTTCCCCGCGCAGCTCCTCATTCAGCCTCGGCCTTACGCGCATTGGCGCAGGGATACGGCCGGCGCCGCCGCCACGCACCGCCGTGACCGTCTCCCTGCGCGCGGGCGAGCTCCCTCCAGCGAAGTCATACAGAGTGGCGGGGGCGCCGCGCGCACAGACGCTGCTTGGAGATCCCAGGATTCACGGGAGAGCGCGCGAGGACTCACGCGGACGCTTCGGAGGAGGGAAGGCGGTGTGGCGGCGCATTCCGATGGGATTCTTTCCCGGGTCGGCTGCTTCGTCCCTCCCTGCGGAGGGCGTGAAGGGACGTCGAACAACATTGGAGCCGGCGTGCACGGGACTACTTTCTGCGGCTCCGCCGGGCCGCCGCCTGCTCGGCTCTTTGTGCGGCGGCCGCCGGCCGAGCCAGGTGCTGCTCCAGAGCGAAGGCACCCGGCCCTTCAGGCAGAGGGCTTGGGGACTGGCGGCGACGGAGCCGCGCGTCCACGCTCCACGAGCGGTGGCAGAGCCCGTCACGCGGGGATGAGCTCAAATCGTGGAGATTGGAAACGGTTTAAGCATCCTTCCCTCTCTGGAAAATAAAAAATGCAATGCTGGTTAAACCAACTTTAAGCGCCGATCTGTTGAAAGGATGTTTCAGCGACAACTCAAAAACTGAGGGGTCCCCATCCCCGTGACTTTCCAGAAAACAGACTGTCCCTAGAAGACGAGCAAGAACTGAAAATGTCTAAACTGACAGATAAAATTCCAAGATCAATGCGTCAGCACCTAAGACAGAGCGCAGGCACAATCCACGGGATCTTACAAGTTGCATTTCCTAATGAATACGCGGCATGCTTCAATGACCAGTCCCAGTTTAGAGAGGGAAGGATTCTTCAGTCTCCGACACTGGCTTTTCAGTCACTGCTACAGCTAGACTTACAAGTGTAAAGACCCAGACACCCCCCCTGAAATCACGTGGCAGGTCTGTCTTGGCAGAGGCAAGCCAAGAGTTAACCATAATGAAGCCATCAGGTGCAGCAGCCTAGTTGTCACACGCCCTTGCCTGAGGGCAGGTGGAGGGGGAAATGGAGTTACTCCAAAATGTTACTAATATCTCTGCGTCGCTGGAGTTCACCGAGTGCTTGTATACACCGTATCAGATTGGACGTTCAAAAGGAACCCTGGGGAAGGGCTGGGTTTCTTACGATTGTCATCCATGCCCAGGGGCGGACAGCAAGACCCTCCGAGTGCAACAACTCACCTAAGACCATTCCAATAGTAAAGAAACCTGTACGCAACCCAGGTCTTCGGACTTCAGACTCTCCCTTTTTGTGGAAGCAGCACACTCCTGTGAGCAGGTAGGACTGGGACAACCAAGTCAGTTTCTCTTAAGCTCCCGTGAGGAAGTCTGGCTGCCGGTGACTTACACTGCTTTTTTCCAAGAACTTTATCGGGCTTCTGCAGGCTTTGTGTTTTGGCCGCCTCAAAACAGAGCATTCACAGGTGTTTCATCCACAGCCAGGACAGGGATTACTGTAAACTCATGAGACTGTGGGGACACCACCATGAGTTAGACGGGAATGGCAGGAGCTTTGGAACCAGTTGTGGGTCAGGATTCAAACCCTACCTAGATGGACGAACTCTGGTTTGAGATGGAAACATATTCCACCATAGTTTTCTCATTTGTAAAATGGGCACAATACTCCCCCAGGCTTGTGGTTGTCGTTGTCGTCATCGTCATTGTTGTTAAAGGCTATGGAGTGGGTTCCGACCCTAGCAACTTTATGAGCAGCAGAAACAACACAGCCCAGTGCTGCACCATCCTCTCACCTTTTCCTATGCCTGAGCCCATTGGTGCAGCCACGGTGTCAATACATCTCCTGGGGGGGCCGTCCTCTTTTTTGCTGCCCCTCTATTCTACCAAACATGATGTCCTTTGCTGGGGCCTGGTCTCTCCTGACAACATCTCCAACGTGTGTAAGAGGAAGTCTTGCCATCTTTGTCTCTAAGGAGAACTTTGGCCATACTTCTTCCAAGTCAGATTGGTTTGTCCATGGTTCTTCCAATATTCTTCTCCAGCGCCACAACTCATGTGCACTGATTTCTTCTTTGGTCTGCTTTATTCACTGTCCAACTTTCACATGCATACGGGGCAATGGAAAACACCATGGTGTGGGCCAGGTGCACCTTGGTCCTCAAAGTAACACCCTTGCTTTTCTGTACTCTGAAGAGTCTTGTGCAGCGGATTTCCCCAATGCAATGCATCTTTTGATCTCTTGACTGCAGTTTCCATGTCATTGATTGTGCTTCCAAGCAGGACAAAACCCTTGACAACTTCAACCCTTTCTCATTCATCATTATGTTATTTTGATCCTGCTTAAATTGAATTGCAATCCATATTGAAGGCTGTACTGCTTGATCTTGATCAGCAGGTGCTTCAAGTCCTCCTCACTTTTAGCCAGTGACGTCAGGTTTCATCAAATAAGTTCTGACTCATGGCTAGCCTGCCTTATAACAAAATGAAATACTGACCAGTCCTGCCCCATCCTCAATACAGGTATGTTTGAGCCCATTGTTGCAGCCACTGGGACTTCCTCTTTTCGGCCGCCCTTATCTTTTATCAAGCGTGATGTCCTTTCCCAAGAACTGGTCCCTTTTTCTTCCTACTTCTTCCAACACAAAGGCATTCAATCTTCTGGCAGTCCATGGTATAGTCAGTATTCTTCCACGCCATAATTCAAATACAGCAATTCTTTGGCCGTTTTCATTCATTATCCAGCGTTTGCCTGTGTGTGAAGTGACTGAGAACACTAGTTGGTCCTCAAAGTGACAGCTTTGCTCTCTGACACAGAGATCTTCTGCTGTAGATTCACCCAATGCAAGCCGCTGTTTGACTTCTCGACTGGTACTTCTATAGCTGGTGACTGTGAATCGAAGTAAAATAAAATCCTCAGCTACTGAAATATTTTCTTCATTGATCATGATGTTGCTTATTGGTCCAATTGTGAGACTTTTGGTTTTCTTTTTGTAGTATGTAATGCATGCTGAAGATTTGATTGTCATCAGTAAGTGCTTTGAGTCAGCAAGCAAGCTTGTATCATTTGCATCGTGCAGGCTGCAACGAGTCTTCCTCCAATCTTGAGGACATGCTTTTCTTCATATTGTCCAGCTTCTCAAATTATTTGCTCATGATACTGATTGAATAACTGTGGTGAAAGGACGCGACACACAAAATTGGCATGGATTAAAGGGGTAATATGTAAACCGCTCAATGAAACTCGGACAAGCTTACTGCCATCAAGTCAGTTCTGAGCTTTACATCTTTGTAGGAGTTGATAGCTTCACCTTGCTCTTACAGAGCAGCTCACCTTGTGATTAGCAGTTCAATGCAGAGCCCACGCCTGCACCAGGGCTCCTTAACAGGTTCACCAGGTATCCAAAAGAAAAAAAGGCAAAAATGATCATTTCCTTTCTTTCTCAGCTCCTTCAGGGTGAATGAGGTCAAAGTAACTTACAACCCATGAGAATAATAGACAAGAAAAATAGGACATGCTCCCACATATTTATGAAATTGCTATGCTTTGTTGCTTAGGGGGTGAAGGTTTACAGAGGAAAATCAATGTTCCATTCAGCAATTCATACACATGTTGTTTCACTCATTGATGACAGTTTCCCTCCTTGAATTACAATGTCATATCACGTATTCCACTTCCTCCCTGTGTTTCCTGTTCTCGTTCTTCCACTTTCTTAACCCTGCTAAATTTTGTCCTTGGAAAATTGCTGCCCTTTTATTCTTTATGTAATATGTAATGCATGTCTTTTATTCTACAATGTCTGGTTATTCTAAGTGTTATTGTTCACCTTATATAGCTGTCTACTGTTTGGATGAAAACTGAGATACGGGTTTTGTGTTAGTCTGGGTAGACTAGAGAAACAAATCCATTGACACACATATGTGTACAAGAGAGAGATTTATATACAAGAGCAATTGAACTTTGAGAAAACAACCCAGCCCAGTCCAGATCAGGTCCATAAGTCCGATATTAGCCCATATGTCCAATACCAATCTATAAAGTCCTCTTTGGACTCATGAAACACATGCAATAAACCAAATGCAGGACAACCACAAGCCAGTGGATAGAAAGTCTTTGGGTCCAGTGGCGTTGAAAGCATCTCAGTGCTGGCAGGGGTCTCTCTGTGGCTTCTCTGGCTTCGGAGGTCTGGTTGCATCCATGTGGCTTGTCTTCTGCAATGTATTCTAGGAGTAGCAGAGAGAGAGAAGTGTTCAAGGAGCACGTACCAGATTTCCCAGAATTCTCAGGAAAAGGCCAGGCCCACACAGAGATCTCACTGGCTAGCTCCAGATTGACAGGCTAGACTCTACCCCTCCACTCTTAATCCTCAAATCAACACCAGATTAAGTGACTACCACAGGGTTACTACCAGTCTTTATCCAACCAGTAAACCTGGCCTCTTCTATAATTTTGACTATTGTTCCATATTTTTCTCCCACTCTATCCAGAATCCTCTATTACAATGGTTCTCAACCTTCCTAATGCTGCGACCCTTTAATACAGTTTCTCATGTTGTGGTGCCCCCCATCATAAAATTATTTTCATTGCTACTTCATCACTTTAATTTTGCTACTGTTATGAATTGGGCAACCCCTGTGAAGGGGTCATTCGACCCCCAAAGGGCTCACAACCCACAAGTTGAGAACTGCTGTTTTATTATGAACCCTTCCAGAGCAATCTACAGTGGTAGCTGGGCACCATCTAGTTCTTCTGATCTCAGGGTCATGGAGACTGATGTTCACGTGGTCCATTAACCCACTGGACTAATTGTTTCCATGCATCTTTG